TTATTACTTGGCCAGATTCTGAAGTATTAATTACGAGCTTGTTAAGTATTTGTTGTAAATAAGGTGATTAAAGTGATGTAAAATCACAACTTTGAGAATTTGATGGGCAGATCTTGACAATACATAGTCTACCCTATTTTTTGGTAGTATCAGGATTGGGGGAAGTGATTCATTAGGATCTGTACAAGTTGTCTTCAGCCTTTATGATTAAAATCTGAATTTTCTTGCCCAAGTAAGAATTATTCAAGAGGATAAACTTGGATTAGACCCAAGTTTGGATTCTTTTCCTGTTTTATGTTGAATTTTCTTTCACTGGGAAAAGGAGGAATCACTGTGTCCAGGAGGCTGAGCTGGGGGCGGGCAGAGGCACTGTGGGGCCACAAGTCAAAGAGTGGAACGTGCTGCTTTGTGATTTTTGTGCTTTTAGGAGAAATACCAGATACGGCTTTTTCCTCCTACAAATATAAGAAACAGCAAGCTCTGGGTCAGATCCCAGGGCTGTCTAATGCAAGTGTTTGCTTCTGCCCGTGGTACCATGGGCTCTTTTGTGAGCGAGCATGTGTGTCCTCCGTGATGCCAGTCTCTAAAGGTTAGGGGGTGTGCAGAACATCATGAGCTCCTCTCATTAGGAACAGAGTCCTTTTATTCAATTCAATGGAACTGGCATGTTGAGCCTGGCAGGTCAGTCTTATGTGAATGTCCAGTGACTGGCTGCTTTGTTAATTGCAAACCATATTTTGCCAAATGATATTATCAACAAAGACATGTCCAACAACTTTTGATTTTTTGACCTTCCGATATTTTTTATTTCATTCAAGGTGAACCCCCTGTGAATCAGTGCAGTGAGCTATGCCCATACTGTTCACAGGGAAACTCAGTGTTTGATTCTGAAAATAGAGAAGACTGGGAAGAACTGTAGCATTTGCTAAGACAGGATGAACCCGAGGAAGTAAATTGATTTTATGGGTCAGGATGTGATCAGAGGCAGATTTAGCTTTGAGGTTCAGGACTATGGAGGTAATTGTGGACCCAAATGGTCCAAGGCTTGTGTGGAGCCTACTCGACTCAGCCAGAGCACATTTTATACTCCTTGATGCTTTTAGCCAGATGATTCTTTTTCATGTTTCAGCATATCCAGATTGTTAGCTTGCTGATTAGACTCACAAGTAAAAGTGAGACCCTTTTGTAGTGCTACTAGAGAATTACAGGGCTAGCACTTGCCTTATAGACAGATAAGGGTACGCCAAACTTTGACTATGCAATTGTGAGGAGCATAATATAGACCACATATTCTAATGGGGGCAGAGAGGGCACTTTTTTTAAATCCCCCTGTGTTGAGAATCACTGCATTAGAAGATAATAGTTTGAAATGAAGCCACATTTTTAACATGGGACCAGATAACAAGGATAAGTGAAATCTGCAGACAGTCTAGAAGCATCATTTTAGCCATTATTTATAATCTCTTCTCCTATGAAACCTTTTACTCTGTGGCAAAATAGATTAATTTACGTGTATCTCTTCTCTCTGTGCCCACACGCTCTCTGATAGATAAATAAACAAATAAGAGAAATGGACAAGAGAGGAAAGAGGATAGAGCTGAGGCCAAGTGCACCCCTGCATGCATAATCCCCAAACTGAAAAATCAATTCCAGAATAATTAAGATGTATTTTAGGGTCTTAACATTAATCTTGATATTTAATCATTCTGAGCAATGTTAAAAACAAAAGATTGTATAATAGCATTCATAAACATCAGTTGCTGTGGAATCGTTCTGAATAAATATGGCTGTCTTTTTAGTGTAAAGCAGAAATCTGTTCAACTGGTCTTAGCACACACAGATACAGCTCTATTTAATTCCATATCCTCTTATCTATAAGTCCTACATTTAATTTACTACCATTTGAGTTGATTTATAGCTTTGCTTAGCAAAAGTACAGTCTTGATTAAAAGGATATTATCACAGTTGATGGACCTTGAAAGCATTTTTTTTCTCAGACCTAATAATTTTGCAAATGACCTACAGAACCCCCCAAGGCTAGATTTGCAGGTTGCCAGTTTTTGCCTACCTGGCTGTCCTTTGGGCAGTGGTACCTCGGGGTATGTCTGGTGTCATAGTTTTCCTATATGCTACCTCCTTATCCATTCTTAGACATGGAAGTAAGTGCCATAGAGCTTCAGAGCAAGTTTGCGTCAGGGAACCCCAGTTCCCTGGTGAGCTGATCCCTTACCTAGCTGATAATTACAACTATAGCCTTTGTCTCTTGGGATGCTGCTGGGCGGAAGGATTCTCCAACCTGTCTAAAAGAGGATTTGATTTTTACACATGAGGGTTACACTTTGGAGATGCAGCTATGACAGACACCTTTGTCCAACCATGTGGAATTCGTTTTGGTACTCATTTCAGTAGAGATGATCTAACTTGCAAAGCCAGTCATTTCCAAAGGCGGTCAGAAATTTGGTCATTCTCCACAGTAGGCTATTTTCCACTCTCCTGTTTTGATTGCACAGTATGACTATTTGGTGGCATCTGTGGCTCTGAGAGTAAGGAAAATGCTGTTCCTCAACAGGTGACAAAAAGCTATTATGCTCTGTTCTATTCAGAACATTATTACCATTTTCCTGATTCCACTGGTTGAAAAAAATGAGTCACTCTGGTTTTGGCTTTATATCTTTGTGAAGCATATTTTTGACCTATGAAATAAGTTATTTCTCACAAAGAATTCCCTTTAAAATCACCACACTTACAGTTCAATTTACAGGGGCTTTCAATTGTTCATAATCATAGGAACACAGAAAAGAACTAAAAATTGTAAGTGTGGCACCAATTCAAAGGGGGAAATTTTGATAATTTTTTCATATCAAATTTGATGGTGGGGCCTTTTCAAAATACAAAAGAAGTCAATCCTATTCATGAATAATTTTAATTTTGGTCAATATGTCTTTCCAGTTTGGTCTTAACCACTGTGTGTGTGTGTGTGTGTGTGTGTGTGTGTGTGTGTGTGTGTGTGTGTGTGTGTGTGTGTGTGTGTGTGTTCACACACACATGTATAAAAGCTTTATGAGACTTTATTGAGAGGTTATTCACACACCATAAAGTTGGTCTTAACCTCTTTAAATTGTTAAATTACTAGGCTTTAAAATCTCTGAGATTTTTGTTGAAGAATACATAATGTGATCCTATAGAGAAAGGATTTATGTGTCTAAATCACCTCCAATTTACCTTAATCACTTTTTTTTCCCAACACGTAGCCACAGTTTGTCAGAGCTAGACTGACTATTAAAGGTTATCTAGTTAACCTAGAATTTAAATCACCTGGAGAGTTGTTCTTTTTCCAAACTACACTTGCTAAAGCTTGAAACTTCCTAAAATTCTGATACACTTTGCAGATCCGATCCCTACCCCATACCAGTTAAACAGCACCAATTTAGTCAAATGCTCTCATCTCGCAGATAAGGAAACATTCTTCTTCACACAATCTTGAATAAACACCTTAATAAACACCAAAATTCTTTTCAATCTTCACATGACAGATTTTTCATAAACTGAGTTGAGGATGCAAAATTCACTTCAGTGAATGATGGGAGCATAAATTATTTATGAAAAACAATATTTATGAAAAACAGTATATTTTTAAAAACAAATTATGGAGGATCTGATATGTTGAAGGAAAAAATGTCAAAGTCACAGATCAGAATGCCAGTCAGTATACAGAAACTGTTGCAAATCTGTCATTGTCTCAGTACTGTGTCAGGCACTGGGGAGATGAGTAGATGAATTTTATCCTGGAAATGCTGATAGCTAAGTACTCATATTTCTTCTCAGCTGTCCACAGTCATTTCCCACAGGGTATGGGAGGTCTTACTGTGTTAGTTTTTAAATGGCTACCCTGATTACATTTTTAGCAGAAGGAGGTTCATAAGGATACTGATATTAAATAGATAGAAGAACTAACCACAGAGATAGGCTTTAATTAAAAAAAAGAACCTAAACTACTCAGAAGATCTGACAGACTCTAATGGATGGATGTGTAAAGACCTGAGGAAAGAACAAAATGGATATTCCAGAGGTCTATTCCCTGAAAAACTGGAAAATTTCAGGCTAAGGGCAGAAGCAGCAAAAGAAGTTTTCGTGGACCCCTATTCTTCTTCTAGACCTTTACATCCATACAGATGGAAAGAGTAAAGGTCTATGACTTGACTCACCTGCTCGGAAAAGAAACCTCTTTCCTGGGGTAAAACTGTTTACCTGGTCTTACCTCTTCCTCCAGTACCTTGGGCCACCCTACACTCCACTCTAATTGATCTAAAGCAACCTTAGATTTGGGAGAACAAAATAGACTGGTTATGCTTGAAATTTCATTTTTATTACCAATGTTTACAAAGATGTTAAGAACTTCGTATGATCTTTAGCTCTATACACTATTCTATGTGAGATATGAGGGGAAAAGACAGAGTCCCATGAGGGTTTGCCACTGGCCCACTTTAAGCTGTAATACATTTTTGAGAAACCTGTGTTTGATTATCTACATATAAGTCAAGGTTTTAAAGAGACCCAACAGTTTGGGAAGGGAGTCAGCAGCCCCCAAATTCTGGAACTTGATCTGAAGTAGTGACTGCACAGGATGGTTGTTTTGCTCTTTCTTTCAAGTCAGTCCCCTTGGCCTAGTTCCTTATTGTCGTGAACACAATTTGGGTGTTGGGGCAGGATTCTTGCCATTGACTGTCTTGTTCTACACACAGCCCCAGAATAGTTGTTCTGGTTCCAAACAGAATAGCATAGCCCAGCACATGTTGGGACAGGTAAATCAGTGTTTTCAGTCTCCACAGTCATCGTAGTGGCCTTCAAACCCAGTCAATGCTTTGGAAAGAGAAAAACGATATGCCCTTCCGAAAACAATGGGAAAGGAAGAACTGCATTCTCTTGAAAGTTAAATTATAACTTTTTCTTTCTGTTTCTCTGAAGAAGACTGTATTAATAAAACTGCCAATTTCTTTCAGGTGGGTGTACATGGCATTAGAATAGAATTCATCAATGAAAAAGGATCAAAACGCACCGCCACCTACCTACCGGAGGTTGCAAAGGAGCAAGGTCATTCTTGTACTTTATTTCATATGATCTAGTGAAAATTTGAACAGATATACCAAATGAAATGCAATATTTGACCTTGCAGTTATGTCTGATAATCGATCAATGTCAAATTATGAGAAATAACTTTTCCATCACTGCCACTGCAATGTCTGTATGAAACCGGGGAACTATTCACACAGAAGTTCACTCTCTGCACTAAAGTTTGACAGCAAAAACACACATGAGTGTATTTTCAAAAATGCAAAGATGTGTATAAATTGGGTTTTATTTTAGGCAACGGCTTACTATGAGTTTGAAATGCCATTTTCCCCTATTCCGTTGCACTGCGTATAGCCTGTGACACAAACAAGCCTTTTGTTACTCAGCCACACAGTTCATTGTCAGTGTCAGGTGTTTCATGTTTAGGTGGTTGCTATTACTCATTCTGCTACACTTAAATTTGTAGGTTTCCACTAAGCTTAGGGGCATTGAGACTACATGAAGTATTGGTGTTTGACATGTTTGGTCTGTACCTCCTACCAAGTAGTTTTCTACTTTGCAGACACAGCACAAACCCTTATGAACTACTACTGTAACACAAAATAAGTTTCCACTCTGTAGTATCTTGTCCTTTGTAGCCACTACTAAATTCTAGTTTCATATTAGTTGAGGTGAGTATTTCTCATCTTACGGAGCCTTTCTGCTCATCAGAAAACATTTGCATTTTGGTTTTCCCATGTTTGTTTCATATAAATAAAAGATATAACAGCAAAGCCTAGTATAATTAACCCTTCCCTCCCCAAAACGAGAACGTCTTTAAGGCAGCTAGCTAAAGATTTGTTTGTGTTGCTTTCAAAAATGTCTTAATCCTTTAGTTCCACTGAATACCTAATAGAGAGAGGCCTTGGAGACTACTATACCATCCCATGTCAGAACCAATATAAATGCCTTTGAATACTGCACACAAATACACTTGATTGAATACAGAAGATACCATTAGGAGCAGCAATTACCACGAGTTAGCGGGGGTATCCTAAATACTACCAAGCTGGCACAATGACATTTGGGTATTTCCCTCTCTTTTAAAGATGTCACTGTTAGAGGAGAGGACACTGTTTTTGGTTTGTTGCTGAGACGTGACTGAGCAGTTGCTGCCAGCCTCTGAGACTCCCGGCCTTGGAATGTGGTTGATAAAGAAGCCAGCGTTGTCACCCATCACGAATAGCTAGAATTCCAGGTGTGCTGCTTCTGTACAGCATGAAATCTTAGCTTTTCTGTGTGATTGCTTTTAGGACCAGAGGAGTTAATCGCATTTGGTGACAGTGATAGCTGACCTCTACAGAGTCATTTAGTATTTAACCGAAGGTGTTTTGTTACATGTGCTTGACTGGTGTTTTATGTGGTCTACTCTCCACAGGATGGGACCATATTCAGACCATAGACTCCTTACTGAGGAAAGGAGGATACAAAGCTCCAATTACTAATGAATTCAGGAAAACCATAAAACTGACCAGGTACAGAAGGCATTTTTCTAGTGCAAGGGTAATCAGTACACTTGGATGTGTACACCTATAACCCTCTGATTTCTTTGGTCTCTCTAACTGTACTTCTGAAACAGAATGGAAATGAATGGCAGGGTTGTACCGAGGGTGGATACAATGGAACTCGGCTTAGCAGTTAAGCCTGTGTGATACATGAGCCCATCCTTCCCACCTTTAGCTCTGGGTGATTACTCTGGCTTTATATAAGCAAGCCCTCTGAGCCTTCGGACTATACACTACAGAAGAAAGTTACCTGAATTAGCTAATGGCTAGCTTTTGACATTTTGCAGCAGAACCCCAGGATTCTGATAAGCACTCCTCAGATTTCAATTTCACTTTAGAATTTTGGCAGTGATAGAAGTCTACCATGAAAGCTTGCTGAAAAACACAACTGAGCTATACCCACAAATGCTAAGCAAATTAATGCACAGGATAAGTGGGATACTTATTGTAAAAGAAAAATATCAAACGTTTTAGTAAAATGGGTTATTGTTTTCATTTATTTCCCTTCCAGAAAACCACAGTGAATGCCTATAGTCCAAAAATGGACTATTCTCTACTCTGAGAAGTAACAAATTTGAAATGCCTCCATCTCTGCTCTCCTTGAGCTCATAGTCTAGGAGAATAGAGGGGCATGTGCAAAAATAATTATTAATGTAAGGCAGAATGTGATGGATGATGTGAGATCGTAAGTAGGGAAAGAGGAATTACAGGAGAGGATAGGTGGTAAGAGAATTTCAAAGAGGCGGTAGATTTGAGGCTTGGCTTGAATTATGGGTAGAGTATTTGACAGGTGGAGAGTGGGGGAGGAAAGGGATTATCTTAAAGAGAATTTTGTGAATCAAGTCATGTAGGTGGGGAAGTAGGGAGCAAGTTCTGAGGAATGTTCAGTGGTCTGATTTGGCTGGTCCTACAGCACACATACAGAAGGTGGTCATTACAGGAGAATATGGCCCAGAAGGTAGGTTGGGTCAGATCATGGAGGGTCTTGAGTTTCAGACTAAGACATTTAGACCTGATTCTAGAGACAATTGGTAGCCATTGAAGAGTTTTAAACAGATGGAGTTGGGAGGTGTAAGACTGGAATTGGAAACAGGAAAATTAGTTAGGAGACATTGCTATGATCTAAGAATCTGTGGCAGCAATTCCAAATAGGTGAAATGGGAGCCTCAACAAGAGCTGTGTCAGTGGCATGGGAAGAAAGGAGGGAGCAACTAAGAAACCATTGTGGAAGAAATGAAAGGACTTAGTCATCATTCAGAAGAGGAGCAAGTCAAGGCTCTAATCTAGATAAAAGGGACTAAGGCGACCCCTTCCACCAGGGCAAGCACCACAGGAGAATCATATTCATGCACTGATTCTGGGTTTGAAGTGCTTCCTGAGATACCTGTATAGAACTATCTAGTTGGTCACTGAGAATGTGTATGTGTAAGGTTCATGGCTGGAGACGGTGATTTGGGATCATCTGTAAAGAGGTCATAGTTGTAGCTCTAAGGGTAGGGTTGACTGAAGGGCCACAGACTACAGGGCCAAAAGAACTGAAAGAAGGAATGTAGGAAACTCCGAAAAGGAGTACAATGAGTAGTCTGAGAGCTAAGGATGGTCTGAGGAAAAGGAAGGACAGGGGGAGTACGTAGTTGTAGAATCCATGGCACAAGAGAGCTTCAAAAAGGGAGAGGTGAGAGGTCATAGTGCAGAGGTCAAGCAGATCTGTGGTGGTCCCTTCTGACAGAGCGGTTGCCATGGGAGAGTGGTAACAGAAGCCAAGGAGCACTGGGCTGATTAGTGTGAGATGAGCAACTTACTGTAGAGAACACACGGTACTCTCTTCAGAAGAGTGGCAATGAAAAGCAAGCTAGTGAGGGGGAAAAACACTGTTTGGGAATACCAGGATTAAGAACAGTGTTTTGTTGTTAACTGTTTTTACTTAATGGCAAGACCTGAGTAGATGGTGTGAACAGAGGGACAGGAATGGTGAAAGAGGGGGCCATAGAAGGTCCCAGAAGGAAACGTAGTTAAATGAATGAGATCTGTACATGACAGTCATAGGTTGGCTATTCCTCTGTTCCTTCCTGTTAGCAAACCAGAGCTGAGGGGGCAATACAATTTCTAGAACAATTTGAACAAGGAACAGTAGAGTAGAAAGATCACTGGACTCAGACTCTGGATTCCTGGGTTCTCATCTCAACTTGGCCACTTATTAGCTGTGTGATATGGAGCAAGTCACCACTTTTCTCTGGGCCTGTTTTTCCTGATCTATAAAATTATTCTGAAGGTCCCTCCTAGCTCTGGAACTGGCATGTCATCTGTTTCTTGATGTTAATTTTCTCTCTTCCCTGACTTTCTTTCAGGTACCGTAGTGAGAAGATGACCATGAGCTATGCTGAATACCTTGCTCATCGCCAGCATCATCATTTCCAAAATGGCATTGGGCATCCCCTCCCGCCACACAACCATTATTCCTGACACTGAGCCGTGCAGCCAGTCACTGGGCGTCTCTGCAGACCTCTTCCCGGGAGACCCTACCCCTTCTTGGTCTAGCTATCTCTTTTACTGTACCATTTTATGATGATAGTTTCCGTTGCCATGGTGAAGCTTCGATATCATCAATTGAGATCATCATGGTAACGGGCAGAATAATGACATTTGTTCAGAAGATCCTGTTTTATTATTTTAGATCACTGACTTTTTTTTTTTGCAGCATAAATAACTTGTGGGACTTTCTTTCCTTACACTGTTACGTAGAAGCTTGCAATGCTATCTCATTCAGGTTTCTGTTTTTCTGTCCTTCTTACCTTCTTTTCTGTTTTCTTTCCTTCTTTGTCTCTTCCTTCCTTCCTTCTTTCAACTGTGGATGGAAGAAATTGTGCAGTTTCTAAGGATTTTATTTAGGTTTTTCTTTAGTTTCAGTAAGATAGATAATTTTTGATAGCTGAGTTTGGGAATAATTCATATCAAATTCAGGTATATTACTCTTGACTTGTCAAAAATTCATTTTGTATTTGAGAACTGAGTATGTGGATCTTGAGTCCTTAAGTCTGTGTTTTTCCCATGGTTAAAATATATGAACTTTAGTTCTAGTATAGAACATTTGAAGGTCCATGATAGGGCTTGTCACAGAGACGGAAACCATCTATGCCTATTGTGCTGGTGATCATAAGAAATGCTGCCTCATCACTGTATATATAGAACCAACTTACAAACTAACACTGTTTTAAGAAAGTACAAGCTACCTTTCAGATATGCTACAGAAATCATTATGAAGAGTAGCAAGTATCAGGAAGAGAGCAGAGACAGAATTTCGTGCCTTTGAGAAGAATAAGTTAAGTGGAATAAAGAGAGGTTAGAAAAAAGGCAACTTAGAGAAATATTCTTGTAAAATTTTATTGTTTCTATATGTGAAACAACAGATTAGACAAATTCCTTACTCTTAAGTATTTTTTTAAGCTGAAAAATTTATTTTGAGCAAATAACCAAAAGAGACATTTGCCTATTATATGTTAATTTAAATTTGTTAGCTTTAGGTTTCAATAAGTCTGATCGGCCAGAGGCAATTTTTGCTACCACTTAATAAAATGGTAAAGATAGTCTAGGGAAACAAAAGTTCATATATGCCATGATTTCAGATATGTTTGTAATGGGGACAATACTGGAGTTTTAGAAATACTATAAATAGCTTGAATCTCTTTCTGCACTACATACTTTTGATAGAAACACATTTACTATGTTGATAAGATATTATCTTACTTGGAGTAAAAATGGAGTTGGCATTTAGATATGATATAGTTGTTAAGAGCCCAGCTCATTTTCAGGGCTAGCCTTCCCATGGTGCATACAAGGAGAACCTCCTCATGTCATAGGAGGTCCGTATGTATAAACCCAGGGAAATGACAAATGATTCTGGAGAAAGATTACCTTCATTTTATGGTAGTAAATATGTGTGTGTGTGTGTAATCTTTTTCCACCAATATTTCAAATGATTAATTATAAATATGGTGCAGAATATATAGTCTAAAACTATGAGCTATCACTATCAAAATGGCATAGCTTATACATATAGTTGCTATGACAAGTGACAGACAGACTGCCAGTTCACAATATGAAACCCTATTTTATTTGTGAGATAACTGGTCAAATTCTTTGTGCTTGCCGTCATGGTAAACCAAACTGCTTTAGTTTTTGATGAGAGTTCTTAGAAGTTTGTTGGTATTCCTTCATTCACAGCATTCATTGTTGAAATAACCACTTTCAGTTGTGATGCCTTAACTAAGAAGCCAATTGTTAGCTTGAAATGCAATCTTGGTAGCCAGTTCCATTGAACCTTGAGGTTAGTCACAGAAAGCTAACTATTGGCCTGTAGAAAGGGATTTTGAGTCCTTTCGTTTCTACCTGGGAGCATTTTGGAGCAGATGAGTCTTTCAGTATAAAAAAAAGAGTGGCTACCTGATAGAAACTTTTTCTTGCCCTTATAGGGAAACTGAGCACAAGCTGAATGATATTGTCTGCTGCAAAAAAAAAAAGACATAATACAAACAAACTGAGGAGAGACAAAATAGACCAATACTGATCCATCATATACATCATCTCATCAGTTCAACAGGCTCCTCATCCTGGATGAGCTCATGGTCAGAAGTTTTTTCAAAGAAAAGATCCATTACATATATGTATGTGTGTATGTATACATATACTTAAACATACATGCATACATACATATGTGTCTGTTTATGTATTTTACGGTGCTAATCAAGCCTGAGCAGGTCACGTGACTGGTCATGTGGACTCTAAAATCATATCAGATTTTTTTAAATTCTTGATATATGCAGATGTTATACAGATTTTCTTACCAGTGTAATAATATTATACTGAAGAAATAACCATCCTGCAGGCTTCAGAGGATGAGGTCAGCAATATTTCCCACCATGGCTTTGGGGAAAAGGATAGTTTTGTCTACTTTTGTATTCAAATTAATATACAGTGCATTTTTGTCTCTAAGTAGCTTTCGACTAAAAGATTTTGTAGTGCAAAGGGTGTTCTACCAACTGTAATGGTGTGCTTCAAACAAATGCTAGACCCTTTCACCTTTGTTGTATATTACAAAGCTGTTATGTTAAATGTGTGGTTTGAATTAGCTTTGAACATGTTGAAATAAGCATGTGTTTTTCACTCGGACGAAGATTCTCAATGCACAGGTTGTGTTCTAGCCAGTTGTGGTTTAGTTGTTCAGAAACACAAACGAATTGCACTCTTATCACCAGAATATTGTATAAGTTCAGTGATCTTTAAACAGCTCAGAAGTAATACTTGAACTTCATTTGAGTAGCACAAAGTTTACATAGCCCCCCCTTTTAAATAAGTTCCATTTATTTTCCGTTTTCAAATGCAACTGGGTATTTTTCCTCTTGGAAAATAGTACATATTTCATTTTGGTATGTAGCAAAAGGCTTCCATTTCTGGAAGGGTTTTCTTGTTCTTAAAACAAGGTCAGCCAGGTACCAGATTCTAAAGAACAATTGCCTGTCCCCTCCCCCTCAATAAGTGGCCTTCCAACTGCGTGAGAATGCTTCCTATCTGCTCCAGTCTCCCCTACCATGAGAGGTCGGTGTAACTGATGGAGGAAGTGCAAGGCTTGCTCTTCACCGCCTCCACCCCTCCCACCGCACCTGCACCACTTCAAGCAGTTGTTAAGATTTTCAGTCAAGGAGATACAACCCCAATGCCCAGCACACCGGAAGTTTGTATACTGGCCTCTTTTCATGTCTTCAAATGTGCATGAAATTTGAAACTGTCATCTGGAATAGGTTCCATCTCTTATGTGTGTTAGATCAAACCAAAGAAGCCCCCAGCCATGCCCAAATGCTGCTCCAAAAGCCTGCCTTCCAGTCCTTACAAAAACCTTGCAGGATTAAATGTGTTTAACTTTTTTATTTTTGTACAGTTTCTAAGTGATTTTTGCTAGTGATGTTAAACTGAATTAAGTTTATTTGAGGGGTGTGTGTGCCTCCTCCATTTAAATAAACTGGTGAGTTTTATTTTTTAGAAGTGGAAACCCGTTGTGTGCCTCTCGATTTAAGGGTTTCTGATTATATTATCCTTAAGACCAGCATTGATCCTTTATATACAAAGATATGTTTTCCTTGTTTTTTATTACTGTTTCAGAAGAAAATAAACCTTTTATTTTGCTCTGGACCCAGTAACTGCGCTGGTACATAGACGCACTGAGAAAACAAACTTTTGTAACCACCTCTGACTGTTTTTGTATATCAAAGTTGATTACTTTTGAAATATTTGGATCTAGTTTCTAATTTATTTTAGTGTTTTGTATGTTCCCTGAAATTACTTTGCATCGGTCACCAGCGTAATGAGTCCTTGGTGATGCAATGATGAGATTTATAATAAACAAAAGCTACCTGGAGTAGCTCTTGTTTTCTTCTTTCTTAGTAACCTGTTTTTGATTACAGTAAGACATTAGATTACCTGAAACCCGTTCAAGTATAACTAGATCCTCCTTCCTTCTTATTCACTTAAATAAGCAACTATTTAATTGCTTAATAGTTTGAAGAAACTATTGGAAGTGGGCATTTTTATTATGACGTGTATGGCTTCAAAATATTAAAAATGAGCAAAAAGAAAAATGAGAAGGTTTATGTGGGTCTGTAAGGTATGGCTGTGGAAAGTTATGTAGTAGTTTTGACACTATTGTACCTTTAAAATCATTTACCCAATAAAATGTTAAAAACTGAGTCACCATTTGTTGTTTCTTTACCCTGCCTCATCATAGGATCTTGGTCTCGGGGCACTTCTTACTGAAACACTAACAGTTAAAGACGTGGAAATAACGGACTTAGGAACTGATGTTGATTTCTTTTCAAACTAGCACTCACGAACCCTTACCTGCCTGCAGCTGCTCCCTGCCCTTGGGTTTGCCTTGTCATCCTTTTGCCTAGCCCTGAATCCTGGCTTGGTGAAGCGGTCCAGCCCTTGTCGGGCAATTTGCCTGGCTGGAGATCTGAGGCAAGCATCAGGCTTGAATGCTGGTGGTAGCTTAGCTATGCTTAAGCCTGCTTCAGATTTCTTCCAAATCAGTCAATGTGTCAGTGGGTGTTTCCCCTTTGTGAGCTGGCACAGGGCGTAGCAGTGCTGTCCAGTGAAACCATCTGAAGAGGTGGGAACCCTTTCTTCTGCCATTAGCGCTTTGCCATTTTCTCCAATACAGGACAGAATCTGAAGGTGCCTGAGATGTAGCCACTTGGAGCATGGACACTCATACACACACACACTCATACACGTGCACACACGCGCGCGCACACACACACTTATTGCCAGTTAGTTTTCCAGTTCCAGAGTGGTATGAAGTGACCTGTGCTCCCAGCTTGAACTTGGGGAAAATGTCTGAGTATAGGGGCAGGGCAACTGGTGCTACTGACTTCATGGGCCAGCTAAGAGCCTGCATCAGGAAAAGAATCTCTCGGTGTGCCACCTCAGTCAGCTGGTACTCCATCTCCTTCTCTATGTTAAGGCTACCAAGGATATTGTTGAAATACCTCTGGATTTTTCTAATCATTTGCTGTCTCGGTTTCATCATGCATATTTCAGAATTAATTGTTAGTGAATATATGCAGAATAATTTTCTGTTACATTGCCCCAAAGCCCTGCTACCCATGTGAATTTGATGACATGTGCTTATGTCAATCACAGTGGCTAAAAACAGCCATCTCAGATCCTAGAGGACTATGGCGGTTTTGGCGGTTTTGAATAGTGCTCCATTAAGGCAGCCATCTGCTCAAGGTTTACCCAGTTTCGTCATTCATGTTTAATGTTACATGGGATTTTTTAATGATTTAGACAATAGGTTCAGGTAGAATGAAGTAATTTATTGAGCCCACAGCACTCATTTTTATATCATTAGTGGTTAACTCAATGGTCTGGACAGTTTGAACTTTGGTCATCACACTCTACCTACCTAGAATCTTCACAGAGTTTCAGCATGTCCTCTTTAGATTTCATGCTGCACTTGGGCACCTTTTCAGTAGCTCTAGGGCTTCAGAGGGAAAGCATGATTGTGTGGGCTGAGGCAGCTCCTCTCTGTCAATGGAAAACACTATCATGTCCAAGGGGTCCCATCAGAGAGAGTGGGGGGAGCTCTGCTACGGGGAAATCACACCTGGATTCAGAGCTGCCAGCCGGGAGAGCCACAGAATGGCTGTCCACCCATTCAGAGAATGGCTTCTCCTGCTTTCTGCAGTTCTGACCACATGAGCCAAGACAAGTGCAGGTCTGGGCTAAGCTCTGATGGCTTCCCATCTATTCGCCCAGGCTTTTCCCTGGCAGGCTATCCCCCTAGCTGATAGGAGGAGGCAACTGAGGCAGGCCCTGGATATACCGTTTTGCAGACTATATTATATGGCCTTCCTTGATCCTGTGGTCCAGGGTTCAGTCTTCTATTCTAAACCCTGAGTCTATTAAGGTAAGATTTCTTGCCTTTCAGGAATCAGAGGAAATTATCTTAGGTCCTAAAAACTGTTTTGAAGCTAGATGACCTCCTCTTACTAAGAATCTGTTTACAGCAGTGTTGAAAAGGGACCCCTTATATGTTACGTTCAGAGTGTACTGACTGTGTATCTCAAGTTCTTCAAATGGACCACCCCAGAGGGCTAGTGGAGGGCGTGCACTTTACGTAAACAAACAGTGACCTGCACTTGCAGATTTCCATCATGACAGATGATCACATTAGTTCGGCAGAGGTTAGATGTAGGATACACTGCAGCACGTGCTGGGTGGTGGTGGCATTATGCGTCTCTGTGCCCACCAACTGCCTTGGCATCCTTGAGCTCAAGCTCCCATTCTAAAAGGACGCAGCCAAGTCACAAGGGGCTGGTAATTTATTTAGCCTTTAGTCTCCCTTCACGGTGGAAGAATCTCTCTGCTTTTTAATCAGAACCTTAGCTAGCATCTCATTATGTTAAAATATGAGCTTAAAAGCAGTATTTCATTGTTACAAAGTACGAATATATACCAGTCACTTATAAAGTTAATGAGAACAACAAGGCTGTTTTGATGACTATAAAAATCTGTAACTGAGGTGATAGATGACAGCTGTAGTTATAGTCTCAGCACTTCATTTATTTCTGTGTTCTGTTTTAGCTGTACAACAGTAAAAGGTCCTCATCTGCACAGAGAAGAGGTGGTATCTCACTTGTATAGTTTTATGAAAGTGAGTACCTATAGGCCAAAATTTTAAGATCTCAGGGCAGTCACAACCTTCTGAACCAGGCCGAACGAGGTTTACAGGAAGTTCTGGCAGGAGAAGCATTAACCCTGAAGTTTGAACAGAAACAAGTCAACCTGATGGCTCCTGCTAACCCACTAGTGGTCTGCAGTTGCTCTTCTGAATGTAATACACTGGGTGTTTGTTAGTTTCTTTTTGTTTTTTATTATAGTTTTTAAATATTATACATTTAAACATGTACACATTTTCTGAAGCAAATGTTTACAGAAACTTGGATTGGTTTCAACAGAACGTCCAGGGCCCACAGGACAATCTGAAAACCACTGCTGGAGCTCCAGTATGTCCGGTTATTTTGAGAGCCTTTGACAAGCTGTCATTTCACCTCCTTTTCCATTTTGGCCTTTTCCTCCCAAATGTCAGGCTCAATGTGATCCATCAATATTGACTGAGTGCCTGTTCCGCCAGAGGCACCACACCCTGCTTGGTTTCAGAACGAAGACAGTATAGTTTTGTAAGAAATTAACAGTCCACTCTGAGCTAAGAGTTGTGAGGGGCAAGCAAGTTTGGTACTAGTTGGGAAAAGTTCAGACGGGAGCCCAGGCAACATCAGGCTGCCTTTACTGGGCTTCCCTAAGTGGCATCCACCTCTGAGTGGCATTAGAGCAGAGCAGTAGCTGTCCCCGCTTGCAAACAGCATGTCTTTGGCCCTCCAACATGTCAGCAGCAGAAAGCACCCCATACTGGGCATGCTCATGATTTGTTGAGTGGAAGAGTAGATTGTTTCTGTTCCTATACCACAGTTGTCTCACTCCCTGGCTGGAAGGAGCAGTGCAGCTGGAAGAGAAACTTCATGAGTGTCTAGGAAATAGGTTTATGTATAGAAAGAATGGCATTTGGTGGCTGTAAGTTTTGTTTCTTACTGTGAAGCTGCTCTCTAAAAGGCATCATCCCCTTCCCATGACCAGGAGAGAGAGAACATTGCAAACAGAGACTAGGCCCTGTGCACTAAGAGGCTGAAAGAGCAGAAGAAAGTTTATAGTATGCCGACTGGCTGAAAAATTACCCCACAGGGAAAAAAATCCATTCATGTGGCAGGAGGAGAGACAGGATAGTAGGAGTAACCCACCCAGAGAGGAAAATCTGAGTAACTTTCTGAATCACATGCTACGTAGTAAAGGCAGGAAGGCAGGATTAAATTTGGATATTGTAAAACAGGAAACACAACTGGTACACAATAGGAGGTTTAAATCACATTTTAAGTGACAGGAAGCTGCTGAGAGTTGCAGCCATTGCCCAAATGAGGCATATGTGAAGCTAAGAGTTGCTATAGCCAGTTTTCATCAAACTAGCATTTCCACCCAAATGGTATTCTGGAACGACCCAAGTGAATATGTGTGTATCAGCACAGGAGATAGGGGCTGGCCAGATAGCTGGACAGTGCAATCATGCACCCCTCTCCCACATATCCTGGCAGAGTAGAAAGGGTGTCTTGGACTGCGCAAAGTAGGAAACCCCCATCTTTTTTGAAGGACAGTACAAGTGTGAGTAATGCAAACATTTCCCTAAACTTTCTCTACTTCAAACGCTCAAATGAATTCCAGGAACTCTGCATGGAGACATTGCCACCCCACTGGCATAGGCATCGGCAATGGCCCTTTTCCCAGAATTGTGCTCAGGGACAGTGGTGGGTGGCCATAGTGACCTCTGTACATGAAGCTATGCCCCTTGGTGACTTGGTTCTTGGTTATCTTGCCTAGCATATGTGGTCCCTGGTACGCAATGATGGGATTATAATGGAAACATGGAGTTCATCTGGTTGTTCAAATAGGATGGGATTGCTCCTGGGGTGTAAATGGGCCTAATCAACCCCTTCCTCCCTCATTTGGGTTTGTACCACTCCACAAGAATCTGTAGCCTTGGAGATGGTCAAACATAAATTGCTCATAGTTAGCTCTGCACTGGGTAAGCGCAGGCAACACCGTTTGTTCTGGGGAAGGTTACACAGGAAGTCCTGCCAGCAGGATCACCGGGCACTTAAGAGTTAAAAAGAAACTGCATTCTTTTCACCTCCTGAATATTTTCTTTCATTGAGCTGAAATTCACATAACATACAACTATCCACTTTAAGGTGCACAATTCAGGGGTATTTAGTGTATTCACAATGTCGTACAACCACTGGCTTGCTCTAGTCTTAAAATTTTTTCATCTTTCCATAAAAACACCTCAGGCCCCACTCTCTACCCCCACCCTCACCACCTATCCCCTGAGTACCCTCTAATTTTCTTTCTGTCTCTCTGAATTTGTGTATTCTGGGTATGTCATACACATGGAGTCATACAATGTGTGACCTTTTGTCACTGGCTTCTTTGACTTAGCATGATGTTTTCAAAGTTTAGTACTTTGTTCCTTTTTATGGCTTAATAATATTCAGTTGCATGTATATACCACCATTTGTTTACCCTCTCACCCACTGATGGCATTTGGGCTGTTTCAACCACTTGGCTTTTATTAATA